TCAGCAGACGCTCTCTTGGTTCCATCCACTTTGCAGCAGCCCCTGGCACTTCCTCTCATACTGTGCTCTTCACGCTGTCTGGCTCTCCTGTCCCCTTCAAGCCCTGTGCACATCTTCACCTCCCTTGATAAGGCTTATTCCGCATTTTCCGCAGTTTTCCAGGTGCTCCCACATTGCTTGCTTTGTTTAATGCAGCATTTATCACACTGTCTTAAAATTATCTGCTGTCGGGGCTGGGGATTTAGCTCAGTGGCAAAAGCGCCTGCCTGGCAAGCGCAAGGTCGTGAGTTCGGTTCCTGGTACCGGAGAAAAAACCAAAAAAAAAAAAACAACAACAAAAATTATCTGCTGTCATTCAGTCAAAAAAATATCTGAGCTGGGAATGGTGGCGCAACCTGTAATCTCAGCACTTGGGAGGCTGAGGCAGGAGGGTCACTGTGAGTTTGAAGCCAGTCTGAACTACATAAGAGAGTTCAAGGCCAGCCTGAACTGCAGAGTGAGACCCTGTCTCAAAAAAAAAGTGCCTGCTCTGCATCTGGCACTGTTACAGTTGCCAGAGTGACAACAGTGTATGCAATAAATTAAAAAAAAAAAAAATTGCCCTTTTTGGGCTTAATTTTAAATTTCTGCCCTCCGCCTTTTCTTTCATAAGCATGCTGGATTTTTATTTCTTTTTTTGAAGGGAAAAGAACATAGTTTCTTATATGCCCCAGGATGGAACCATTGGAATTCTGACTCCTGTTCTGGGATTTTTCTTATTTATATTTGTACCCTAATTCCCGGCATGTAGTGGATGAGATATATATTTGTATTGAATTGTTTGGTCACCTACTATTTGGTAAATTTCATGTTAATGTCAAAAGTAGAGCCAGAGCGAGGACAACAAAGTCCTTCCTACAAGCAGCTTTGTGGAACACCAATGTGTTTTAAGCAGCCAAGGGCCCTTCTTGATACGCTTGCTGCCACACAGAAAATGTTTCATTTTTGCCTCTTCAGAGGATAGTGTTGTAGCTAGGACCCAGGCAGCTGAAATCTGCCTTTGATGACGGCAACAATAGGAGAGGAAGGCAGAAGCAGATGTCTGTGGGCACTGGCCGGAGAAGGAAGTGAAAGGGATTAGACTTCTTAGAAATCTCACTTGTATGTAAGGGCGGTGGGGAGGGTGCTCTTGCATTCTAGTCTGCATTATGATTTCTATTCTTGATAATTTACCAGAGAAGAGTTGTCCTCTAAGTGGACACATCCTGTCACACATTCTTGCTGTCCCCTTCTCAGTAATGCCTGTCCAGTTTCTGCCTTCTGGTTTGAAATGTGACCTTTATTATCATCTAATTTGTCATTTCTGTCCTTTAAAAATCCTAGGAGATATCACTTAGCACAACCCACAGCCTCTTGTAGTTGTAATTCACTGGTGGTGAAGGGCACAACACCAGGACCACGGAGATGTGTGGGACAGTACGTAGATATTACGTGGCCAGTGTCGTGGCTGAGGGAAATGGCAGTGAGACTGAGCTGGGACGAGGTCATAAATGAAGTCTTCCACGTGAAGGATCACAGTGTGGTTTGGCATAGGGAAGGGGTTTCCAGGTAGGCCAACGGTACGTACTGGGCTTGGCAGACAGAGATAGGGTGCAGTGATTGTTGTTAATTGTTGAAACGATTAGGCCTTTCTGTAATAGCGAACAATAACTGCTGGAAGGGAGCTTTGTTCATGGGAAGAGCACTGGACTAGTTGTCCTGGCTTCCCCTTGCCCCTGTCAGTGATTTGCTGAGAACTGGTTTTTTTTGTTTTTGTTTTTGTTTTTTGTGGGGGCAGTTTGTCCTTGAGACAGGGATTCACTCTGCAGTCCAGCCTGCCCTTGAACCCACTATGTAGTCCAGGCTGGCCTTGAACTCCCAGTGATCCTACTGCCTCAGCCTCTCGTGCTGGGATTACAGGCCTGCGCCACCATGACCAGCTCTTGCTGAGCACTCTTGGAGACATAAGTTTCTGGCCTAGAAAGACTTGATATATGTGATCTGTAACTTACTGTCCAGCCCCAGCATGCAGTGATTCTGACTTTCTATCAAACCAGATGCCCTGGGACTTTTTGCTTGCAGGATTTAGCTTCTATTATAATTGCCATTTATTTTGGAGTCTTGCCTAGTAACCAAGTTTAAAATAAAATTCATTTGAGCCTTCCCTTGCCTAGGGTCTCCTTTACATCCAGGGGGTCTTGAGATCTTGCTTTTTGCTGTTCAGTGAGGCTTGGAAACCTTCCTGCCATGGTTGTGCTGACACACCCTTCCCACTCTGCCAGTGGAATGCATCTTATACAGCAGCTTTGTTACTCTTCCTGTACCTCTTCCCTGTAAAACTAGTGGGTCTCCAGTGTCTCAAAGAAAGGCCAGACTAAGATCCAGGCTCAGTGCCCCTTGTCTATTTTAGCTTGCATTACTCTCATCCAGTCACCTGCAGAATAGTTGAACCATACCTGATATTTGTCCTCTTGGTCCTGTGTTCCTGTTGCTCCCTGTACTTGACTCTGCATTCGCTGACAGTTTTGCTACCTCAAGTGCCACCACCTTCTTGAAATCATTTGAGCTTCCTACAGCCCAAAGCAGTTTTTCCTCCTCAACTCCTATAGCATCAGTGACACCTTTTCTGTACTTAATGGCATTAATGACTTTGTTTTTATTTTCTGTACCATCTTGTCCAGCCCTAAATTGCTTAGGAAGAACAGTATGTCTTATCTTAAATATTTGCTGATGAATGATTCCTGATTAATTGTAGATCAAATCCTTGTTTTCTCTGATTAGTAGAGTTCCTTGTGTTTTTGGATAGCTAACTAAAATGTAGAAAAGAATTCCACCCACAGGAATTAATAAGGTAATATTTTAAAAACTGCTAGTATGTGTGTATTAGTAATTCCCAAATTTATATGGAATGCTTTGAATCTTGAGCCTTGGCTTTGGATTTTGAGTGTCATCACTTTCCTCTGCAGCCGAACCCTTGGTACTGGTAGTACACTTGGCAATTTGCCTCCTTTTTTTTTTTTTTTTTTTTTTTTTAGGACGGGGTCTTGTTGTGTCATTCAGGGTGTCTTTGAACTTACCACAGTCTTCCTTTCCTTTTCTGAGCCTCTGCAGTGCCAAAATTACAGATGTGCACCACCATGCATAACTTTTTTTTTTTTTTTAAAGGAGAAGAGGTTTATTTTGTTTCACAGTCTCTAGAAGGTTCAGAAACTGTTTGGCTGGCTCCAGGCAGAGGTGGCATAGTAGAAGAGCCTGCTGTGGAGGAAACCTGCTCACAGTGGCAGCCGTCATGACAGCCAGGAAGCAGGGTGGGAAGCGGGCAGATAGAGGAGATGAATTGAGCTTTCCAAGTCACGGACTCAATGACCTGCCTTTTCTAACCGTGCCCCACCTCTGAACACCAAAAATTGGCCATATTGTGTCCTTTGAAGTTTTAAAAGTGAGGGTATTCAAATTTAGGATTCCCCCCCACCAAATTATTAAGGACTGAAGGAACTCAAGGCCTTTTGCCCTAAGCTACACATCCCTCATCCCTTTTTATTTGAGATGCTTGACTAGCTGCCACACTGGGCCCTGACCCTCAGAATGCTGGGATTATAAACACACACCACCGTACCTGGCCAAAATTTAGGGATTGTTAACAGTTAAATGACAAATAGAACAACTACAGTAGTTTGCATAATAATATCCTCCTCAGTGTACACTACCATTTAATTGGTGTTGAGATCAGAAGTTGGTCTCATGCACATCTCATACTTTCAGAACCAGTAATAAGCTGAGTGTGATGGTGCACACCTGTAATCCTAGCACTTGGGAAGGGCTGAGGCAGGAATCCACTGCAAGTTTGAGGTCTTCCTGGACTCCACAGTGAGTTAAGACCATCCTGTACAAGATGCTGTCTCAAAAAAAAAAAAAAAAAAAAAAACAACTGAGATTATCAGAATTTTTGTCTGTCCAATGATCAATAGACCTAGAAATCAGCTAGTCAACTGTAAGCAGACTCTGGGTATGTGTTTTACATGCAAAGAAAGACAGCATCCTGGGTAAAAGGATGCAGTCAAACTTACATTGTGTAAGAGTTGATGACTTATATACATCACCTCAGAAACATGTGTTTATGTATGAAGGGTGAGAAGAGAAAGAGGATCCACTACAATTTCCCACTGCCACTTCTGTTCCAGTGGCCCCCTCAGCTAATCTGAACTGAGAATACTGTGCTGAGACAAGCTATGTCATCAGCAGTATCTACCTGAACCCTGAGGAAAACGCAGGCATCTCCCCTAGGATTAGACCATTAACAGGCATTACCTCATTTCTCTCCAGATGATGTAAGATTAATTTTAGTTCTAGTAATCTCTTCTCTAGTTGTGTAGGTGTAGGGTCCTCAAAATAAAAATTACCATATTGCTTTTACCAATGATGTTTAGTTCTTTAAATGCCTTGGAGGTGGTTTAATCTGTTGAAACTGTTGAGTAAATGAAGAATACTTCACAGTTACACGATGCTCCCATATTCTCTTTGCCACTAAAACAGAATACAATACAGCATATTTATCTTAGTTAAGCTCTTTGATAATGCAGTTAGCATCAGTTTACAAATAAAGCAATATGCACGTAGCTTCCAGTATGCAGATAAAAGAATGTGGCCTGGTAAAGAACAATGAGAGAGATGAACCCCAAGGAAAACCAAAAAGCGTGCTGGGAGATAGCTCAGCAGCACAGTGCCTGCCTGGCAAGCGCAAGGTAGTGAGTTCAGTTCCCTGTACGGGAAAAAAAAAAAAAAAAAGAAGAAGAAACAAAACCAAAAAGCTGAACTTTGTTCCTTTTGTAGCAGCAGTGTGGAAGGAAGGCAGAGCTGAGGATCATGAATCATTGGGTTACGTGGGGCCTGTACCATGTAGGTGGTAGAGAGGGAACAGATGGATTTGAAGAAGCATCTGTGACTGATCTCTGTCTCTCTCTCGCCTCCCCTCTTTTAGGAGTTAGAGGCAGCTCTCCACAGAGATGATGTGGAGTTCATCAGTGACCTGATTGCCTGTCTGCTTCAGGGCTGCTATCAGCGAAGGGATATCACGTGAGTAATCCTGGTCTTCCTGAGTATTTCTTGTCCAAGGAACCAATTAATCAGTCACAGTGATGTTTCTTATCTCTCTCTTTTTTTTTTTTTCTTTTTTTTTTTTTTTTTTTTGGGTCTTTTTGAGACAAGAGTCTCGCTATGCAGTTCAGGCTGGCCTTGAGCTCACTTTGTAGCCCAGGCTGGTTTTGAACTCGTGACAAACCTCCACCTCCCAAGTGCTGGGATTACAGGTGTACGCCACCACGCCTGGCTTGTTTCTTGTCTTGTATAAGAACCCAGAACCCATCATTAGCCAGTATGGAACAGTACAGTATGAAATAGTGTAGACTCAATGCATAAAAATGGACTCATGTGCCCTGTGTTCATTTTTTTCAGTAATCTTTGACTTTATTTTACTTTCTCAAATCTGTATCATTTACTGTTAGTTACACTTGCTATCATATCTATGTGCGATGTTAAAAATACTGCCTAAAAAATTAAAACTAGCTTTTACAACATTGTTTTACTATTTCGCTGGTGCATGGAGGTCTTCTGTTCATATAACTGGTAGCAATAGCATAATTAACTTGGAGCCTGTGGGCTCACTTGCACCATAACTGCCAAGTAAGCAGCTCTCCAGTGCCTTCAGATGTGTAGAGATTGGGAGCAAATATTATCTGTGCATGCAAATAAAAGAGCTTCCTGATAACATCTGTTCCCTTGGATTTGTTTGCTTTTGAGACAGGATCTCCCTATGTGGCCCAGACTGGCCCGGAACTCTTGGGCTCAAGTGATCCTCCTGCCTCAGCATCTTGGGTAGCTTGGACTACAGCCATGCCACCACATCCCACTTATTCCCATGATTTGATTCTAAAACGGATTTTCCTTGCTACTTTTCTATGCAGAACAAAATTACATGGAACAAAAAGACCAGACACAGTGGAGTTCTCAGTCTCTGGGCCCTCTGATGCCATGTAAGGATTGGAGTTGCTATAGCTTGTGTCTCAGGCTTTTGGAGAAGGCATGTTGCCATGCACAGTGGCACATGCCTGTAACCTGCAGCTACTTGGGAGGCTGAAGTAGAAGGATCGTAAATTTAAGGCCAAACAGAGCAATTTAATGACTCCCTGTCTCAGACTTTAAAAGGGCTGGGTATATTGCTTAGTGGTAGAGTTCTTGCCTGGCATGTGCAAAACCCTGGGTTCAATCCTCAGTAGTAGGCAGAAAGGAAGGAGAGAGGAAGGGAAGGAAGGAAGAAGTAGCATCCAGTCATTTAGGGTTGGGAAACTAGGCTTGCTGTTACCATACGGGAAACTTACATACAAGGTGAAAAAAAGATGAACTAACTACTGTTTTTCTCAGGGTGGGAATCTGCACTCCTTAGATGAGATTTACTAATAGATGATTATAGCTGCCAAGCAGGAAGATAGACTTCACGGTTGAGTCCAAGTGATGGCAGTGATTCTTCAACTTTGAGGAACATCAGACTCGCCGAAGGGCTTGTTCAGTCATTAGTGTGCTCCCCACCATCTAATCCAGTTAGGTGTAGGTTCCACCCGAGATTTTGCCAGCCGAACAAGATGCCATTGATGCTGCTATTCCTGACCCAAGGCCAGGCTTGATGTACTGAATTTGAGATCCTCTGGTCTCATCTTCTCAGAGTACTGGGATTACTGGCTTTGTTTTGTTTCCTGTATCTTGATTTGTTTGTTTGGGTTTGTGTTTTTTTTTGTTTTGTTTTGTTTTGAGACACAATCTTATGTGTATTCCAGGTTGGCCTGGAATTCACTGGGTAGCCCAGGCTGGCCTTGAGCTCATGGTGTTCCTCCTGAGTGCTAGATTACAGGTTTATAAATCTGGGTAGTGGACACTTGGGTTCTTGTTTTATTTTGTTTCCGCATTTTTGGAGATTATTTCTCCATTTGATCCTATAACACAGAATTCAGATGCAGAAATTTGGTTTGTCAGTGACATACCTGTGCAACACTTTATAGTCCCTCTCCTTGGAACTGTGCTTCAGCCAATAATTCTGTGGGCCTATACCAATAGAAATCTTCAGGGATTGAAAATGAGCTCAGTGCTCTTTCAGCGCCCCACCCGCATTAGGGAACAGTCTGGCATTATTGAGCACTGGATGGGAAATCAGGAATATATGATTTGCTCTTAGCTGTCAGAGTGAACATAAGGATTGAATCAAGTTACTATCTCAATCAGTGGTGTGTGTATAATATATATATATATTTTTTTTTTTTGGTCTTTTTGAGACAGGGTCTCACTATGCAGTTCAGGCTGGCCTTGAGCTCATTTTGTAGCCCAGACTGGTCTC